ACAGACTGCTAAAGAACATTCCACAGACATATAGCCAGATTTTCAGCATGTCTCTGTAATTAAACCCCTTTAATGTTTATACATTTGACAAGGAAAAAAATTGTCAACTTTACCCCACCCCTTCTGTGAAATCTTATAACACTATTAGACCATAAAACTTAGCAGGAGTACTTTTTACTGGGCACTGCTAAAGGACTGACCTAAAAGAAAACAGTTAACCCCTTTATGTTATGATTGTCTTATGTAATAAATTGTGTATATTACTATTAAAAAAGGCAATCTCCATGCTGACAGTTGATATGGAATTCTAACCAACTATCAATGTGAGGTAGACATTAATCAGAAGAAAGACCGGTGGTGCTGAATTTAATCTCTGATCTAGGAAGCTTAGACCTTAGGTGTGCCTTCTGCACTTACTTCAGTTTTCAACTTTCTCACATCAAAGAGACTGTAAATGATTAAAAGGTCATGGTCTGAGAAGCAGCAAGATGACCCTATTACTAGGAAAAAGTGGATCACCAAGTTTTTACAGGCAATACTCTTCTGATGCTCCTTGATTATGTAATTTCCCTTCCTAGTCTACCCTCCCTGCTCCCAATATACTTAGGGAAACTGTGAACTGACCTAACAGGTGGGAAATAAGAGCCTATTCTCATTATTTACTAAAGTTGTGTTCTAGCAAGCCACTGTGAGCACTGAATTTCCCAAGGCCATTGTTGTCTTTCATATACACATGTACATAAAAGAACATCATCTTAACCAAATCTTTAAACTCATCTTATAGATCCCATTTTCCTTACTGTTTTAAGAGAGCAAAGGGGTCTCTGAAATAAGTGGCTAGTGTGAAACCACCACAATATTGGTTACTTGATTCATGTGCCTCCAGCCCAATGTCAGAGCCTCCCACATTGTCTCCCTTCTATTGATACTTCTGTACAAAAAATGGCATAGAAGGCAGAGGATTAGCACCATAACCTGCATCAGTTTTGGACACACAGAGCAACACACCTTTTTCAATACTCTTTGTGAATGAGGTTGAAAGGGTCTCTGTTCCAGAGTTAAGGATTAACAAACAAAATGTTATATACATAATTGGCAGTTATTGGGTATGGACTGATGCTATTTGTCTGGAAGTTAGCCTGGATGCAGCATCAAGAGAACCTGTAAATGCCCCATCTGCATCTTTTGGCTAGTTCCTTTTCCTTCCTCTTGACTAGTCAAAGAATTCTCTTCTATTCGATAAAATGGACTCTCTTCTGAGCTATGTTTAAAAACATTACTCTCTCTTACTTCTTTCCTATAATGTCCCAATCTTAAATTTTTATTTCTTTTTTAACTTAATTTGTCTCATACACTTATATGTAAACTTTGAAATAACAAGGACTTTGTCCTTCATATAACCAACTGTACAGCAATTGAAATGCTGCTTGATATCACACAGAAACAAAGGAGCTCTTTTTGAATGAACGGATAGATGACTAAACAAATGCTTGAATGTGGTTCTTTCAAAGGAGGATTGTCAGGTGTGTTTTAAGCATAGTCAAGACTTCAACCAGTATGGCGTCATCTATGGCACTTGAAGTTTCAGATAACAAATTGGGGGCTTATCAAGAGGGACAAAATATATTCTTGGTTTTTGGACTTGAGGTTGTCTCTAACTTGAGAAGAATTAACTGGCGAGAGATGGAGCTAGTACTAAAGAACAAAAGGAAACCAGGGGGAAGAGATGATGTCCTTCAAGAGGAAAGAGGAAGCTGTGGCTCTAAATTTAGAGACAGTATATGCTAAGCACATGGGGAGGCCCAAAGAGAGACAAGGCAAAGCCTGCTGTGCCTCTTAATTTCAGGAGCTGACTTGATGTTTGCTTATCAACCTACATGAGAACATTTGCAGTGAGGAGGCTGAGATGGAATAGATTCCAATTTTAAGCTATGTTCCTATTTTTCAAGATCAATTGGTCTATATTAATATTTCTCCTTGATTTGTCAGAAGATCTAATTTCCCATTCCAATGTGGTCCAAATACAGGAAGTTCTGTTTATCTATATCCCACATGTAATTATACTTTGGGAACAAAGAAAGACATTGATGACACAAAAGTGGAAACACATGTTGAGGAAAGAAGGTTTAGGGATTGTTTTTTATTTTGTTGTTTTTAACTTTTTGCATGTTTAGATGGCTCCACTTAGAGAACTTCTGTCAGCCACAATGATTTCTTTAATCAAAAGATCTGAGTCATAAGTGAAAGCTAAAATCATACTCAGGATCTGCTCCTTCCCAAACCAAACCTACAAACTAGAAATGCTTGATGACATCTGTCACCTTCTCATTCAAAAAAATTAAGTCCAATAAGATCATCAACTCTAACATGATATAGTAAAACTGTGGAAAACTTCATTGTAGGGAAATAATTTTAGAAATGTATATTATCCAAATTCTTTTAGTCTATCTGTAGGAATATAAGATGCTACAGTAACAGAAATTTGGAACTTAATGAAAGTAGAAAAGCAGATTCAACTTTTCTAGTTTCAAAGAAAAGCTGTGTATATTCTTTAAAAACTGTAGGAACATATGTGGCCTAGAATTGACACACCATGTTTCCAAATTTCAGGAAATATTGTTTCAAGGTGATGGTGATTGCAGTATCTGGTTTCTCAGAATATGTTTGGGTCAACAAAGTAGATTTCTGTCCAATTTTTTTTATTTAGTAAAGCCAACCAGTCCATTATAAAAATGAAATCTGTACAATTTAGCTTCATGCTACTATGACAACTGTGGGACACTTTTTTCTAATTTGCAATAACGCAAATTTCAGTCAGTTTTGAAAGAAGAATGGATCTATTAAAAGGAAACATAGGTAATGGAGCTTCTGGTTAAGGATTCTGGATAACTGTATTCCTGGTGAAAACAGATCAAGGGATCAAGCATAAACCCAGTCATGGTAGAAGATTGAAGATGGAGGTGTCTGTTCCACCTGGTCCCACAGCCAATTTGCCCCTAATAAATACACAGATGCTATATTAATTATAAATCTGTTGGCTGATGGCTAGGGATTCTTACTGGCTAGCTGTCTCTTAATTATTATCCAATTTCTTTTAATCCAAGTATTTCCATGTGGTCTTATCTTACTGGAGAAGGGTCTGGGCCTGTGACTCCTTTGTTGGCTACATAGTGTCCCTTTGTGCCTTTTCTCTACCTCTCTCTCCCCAGCATCCTCCTTGTCTCCTAGCCTGCCTGTCTTCCTTCCTCTACTGGCCAATCAGTGTTTTATTCAACAATCAATAACAGAAACATATATACAGAAAGACATCCCCCATCAGAAGATGAAAGTCAGATACTAGGGGTGACTAAGATGGAAGATTCTGAATAACCAGCTTAGCAGTGTTCCTGTGAAAAGGAGATTCTGCAAGGACATGCACAGGTGGACCTAGGACAAGGTTCAGAAACTTAACTAAAATTTGGTCATTGCCACACTTCAAGCACCTCACTTCTTCCATCATAATATGTCCATGTTATCAATATGGACCCTTTCTTCTCACAGATTAGTTAGAATCAGTTACTAAATTATGTTGACATGAAAAGGAAAGATAAGGCATTGACTGAAAGTAAGTTTTAAGTAAATATTTCAATATAAAACTAAATTTACTTAGAAAACCTCTAGGGGGACTAGAAATGATGACATAAAATAATGGTGAGAGAAATTAAACCCACTGATTATCTTCCCTGAATTATCAACTTGATTTCTAAATTCTGTAGTTCTCAATCAGTTCTTTCTTTTGTCTTTGTTAATTAGACAAACATTCAGCTAATACTTCTGTGATAATTTAACATAGGACACAATGTCTCATGGTTTGTTACAAATGGCTGTTGACCATTGTCTTCTCAATAAAATTCCTTGTGTCATCTTTATGTGGCGTCTGTTTATGATCAAGAATGAAATTCAAAGAATCCAAGGTCTCTTAAAAAGGGACATAGTTTATGTGAGCCATGATGACTGGATGTTTATCCTGAACTCACAGTACTACTTCCAGTTTATCTCATTCATAAAGAATGAAATTATCCTAGCTCATTACCAAAATCAAAAGAACTCATAACTGGGCCTTGTCTTCCTTGCTATGCTAGAATCATCAGTGCCATTGTCTTCCTGTGAAACTTTATGGCTCCTCCTGTAGCTGTATTAAAATAATAAAGCTTGTGGATGTTATCTCCATCTCCCACAGCTGGGATTTCTGGGTTTCTCTCTGTGAATAAGCGTTTCAGTGTGGTCACAAGGTGGAGGAAATAGCATGTGTGCACTATTTCCCAAGTACAGTTGCCAAGAGTGAGCTAATTGTAACTCTCCGTCCCATACAACGCATCCCAAATTTTCAAACACAGGCAATTCTGCATGTGTTACATGAAGATGGTGTGCTTTCGTTGTTACATGAAGATGGTGTGCTTTCGTTTGTACAACCTCTGTTGTACAAATACATCAGGAATAGGAATTAAAATTATGTCATAAGATAAATAAAACATCAAACCATCATTTTGTGATTTGATATCTTATAGGGATTAAACCCAAACTTGAACAGGTAAAACATGTTAAGTGAATATATAATGTAAGCTGCTACATTGTTTCTGGGAAACATCTGTTAAATATTTTAAGAATAATTTGTTCTCAATAAATTAAAAATATTAAATGGGTTTTAAATTTATTTTTCAAATTTACCAAGACAAGAATTACAAATATATTTTATTTCATATATCTGTTCCCAACTTGTTAATAAGGGCATGACTGGCTTAGCAGAAAGAGTGTTTTAACTGGATTTAAAGTGGTTTCCGAGGATATAACTCAAGCAGGCATATAGGACCTATATTTGTCATCCTTGCAAACAATAGGAAGAAGAATTAAAATTTAAAGTGTATGTTCTAGTAATCCAGAAATTACTAGAAGCATATTAGTGTGTTGACAATAGCACTTAATTGAAAGGCCAAATGAATGCCATTTTATTCATCTTGTAGGTCAATGCATCACGTCAAGAAGCCAAATTGACAGAAGAATGTGATCTTCTCATTGAGATCATTCAGCAAAGACGACAAATTATTGGAACGAAGATTAAAGAAGGAAAGGTATGATTTCCTAGGCAGCTTTGAAAATATAAAATCATACACTCTGTATTTTCCATATTTTTCTTAAGTATCTGCCTTGGTAGATTTTCTGTTGCTGTAATAGAATATCTGACACAGTATGGCATATACAGTAAAGAGGATTATTTGGTCCACATTTTCTGGTGAATGAAAATTTTGAATAGCATAGCACCATGTTTGGTAAGTGCCCTTGGCTGTATTATGGCAATGAGTGTCCATCCAGAGAATATATTTAGGATACATTTCCCCCTAGAGCAGTGATTCTCAACCTGTGGGTCACAACCCCTCTGGGGTTGAATGACCTTTTCACAAGGGTTGCCTAAGACCATTGGAAAATGCAAATAATTACATTATGACTCATAATAGAAGAAAATTACAGTTATCAAGTAGCAATGAAAATAATTTTATGGTGGGTGGTCATCACAACCTGAGGAACTGTATTAAATGCTCACAGTATTAGGAAAGTTGAGAGCCACTGCTCTAGAGCATCATTGTGTACCACATAGACTCACCTCTTATTCCTGCCATCTTCGAGTTTCTCAGAGACCTGGTTTCTTGAAATATAGCCATAATTAATTGTTGGTATGCAAGAGGAAGGTCATTTGCTATTGCCACATGGTTGCATGCAGATATCAACACTCTCCTTACCTGTAGAGATTTCCTTTAAATTTTCTGGTTTTAATGATAAATAGACAACTTATAGTTGTGTGGATTATTTGGGTATGATGTGATGCTATGGTTTATGAATATAATGTATAGTAACTAAATCAAAATAAATAACTTATTCTTTACGAAAAATACTCATTTTTGTGGTGATAGATTTTTAAATTGAATGCTCTATTAATTTTAAAATGTTCACTTGTTTACACTTGGCATATTTATTAATCTGTGCAATGTATCTTAAAGCTAAAAAAAGTGCTTACTTCTGTTTAGTTGGCTGTGTACTCTTCTCATAGTAGTTTCTAGGTATTGTTACAAATTACCATACACTTGGTAGCTTGGAACGCTCTTACTGATTATTTTAGCATTCTGGAGCTCAGAAGCCCTAAATCAGTCTCCCTGAGTTAAAGGCTAAGTAGGTTCTTGCAGTGCTGTAAGCTATTCCTTGCCTTTTCAAACCTGAGCATGTCATCCTCAGTCCTTGGCTCACAACTACTTCATTATAGCACTCTACCTTCTGTTTCCATCCTTCCATCTACTTCTCTAACATGGACTTTCCTGTCTCTCTTTTACTAAGACCTTAGAGATTACTTGGAAATAATACATATAATCCTGAACAACTTCAACTCTTCTACATCCTTAACTTAGTCATCTACAAAGTTCCTTTTGTATGGAAGGTAACATATTCAAAGATTCCCAAGGTCCACATGTGGACCTCACTGAGAGCACATATTCAGAGTTCAATGACACTTCAACATAACTGCACAATAAATATGCTTAGCCTTACATAGCTGAGGCTTGGATTTCTTGGCATGGGAATTCCCCTTATGAGACAGAGGATAGTGGTAAATGGTATTCCAGTTTTAGCCATGGTGGTATGTAGAGTTCATTCTTTGAAGCATTCACTCCACTACAAGCATACACCATTAATAGAAGCAGAATAAAATGGGGCAGAGTGAAATAAGAGAAGTATTTCCATAGAGTAGAAATGGCACAAAGGTACAATGCTACAGCTAGTTTGACACGAGACACAGGTTTGGTCAAGATGCAGCTGCAGTTCCAACTCCTGTGGCTAAAAGGATCTAGAATTGATTTGGATCTGATGGAGGGCAGAAACCAGACTTGTACCTTAGTGCCCTGGGCCATAGAAGGCTTCTCATTACAAGGGACTGGAAAAGATTATTGCCAATGTCTTCCTGGCATCACAGTTTTGGGCAAACTTCAGTTCTGGGATTCTGAAACATGCCAGTTGATAAGTGGGCCCCACTTATTCTGATATCACACAAGACAGGTGTGTGAGGGTCAGAGAGATACAAAAAGGATTCCAGAGTTCTGAGCCCATGCCCCAGGTTAGGTGAAGGCAACTGCAAAACCATTAGAGTAGACAGAGTAAGGGGGAGCAAGGTGTTATCTTCAGCTTCTTCTCTTTAAAACAGAAATGCTAAGCTTGTTTCCAAAGCAAACAAAAAAATCTTCAGTTTCTAAAACTACAGCCAGCAATATAATCAGCATTATCTTCCAACAATTCAGAGATTTTTTTGATCATTTTTACTTTAAAAGAGAAAGAAATATGAAACCACAGAGAAATGGACAGAGGCAAGAAACACAGAGATAGGAATGCAATAAATGAGCAGTTTTGCAGGTAAATGCACGGATAGTTACATGACAAAAAAAAAAAAAAAAAAAAAAAAAAAAAAAACAAAAAAAACAAACACGGAAAAACAAAAGAAACCGGGAAACACAGTTTGGGCCTCCACTTGGAGAATTCGATAAATGTAGGAAGGGGCCAAAAATGTCTGAGTGACATTCAGGCATGGCTGATGTCCATGGACTCAGATTAAACTAGATTGGTGTTTTAAATGCTAGTCCTGACCGTACTAGTGATTCATCACCTGGAGATTTAAAAACAGTCATTGCTTGTTAAAATGCAAATTATTGCTGCTCTGCCAATTACAGCTCATTAACTAGAATATTGGAGGATGTTCCCAGACACCTAGAGTTTTCCTTTGAAAGATTCCCCAGTTGATTTTTTTTTTGCATGCAGTGTTTGAGAATCCCCAGTGCCACTGTACACTGACCTATAATTAAAAGTATGCCCTAAATGGTTCTCTCTAGAACATTCTTATAGTTTCACAGGATGCTCTCATTTTCTTTCGCTTCAATATATGTACAACCTAGTGTTTTTTTCTTTCTTGTCTTTGTATGTCACTTTTTATTTCTAATATCCTGATAGAGGAAGCAAAGAAAGATGAAACTGAAGATGAACCATTGTCACATTTGTAATACATGTAGTCTCTCCAAGAAATACATCCAAAAGCGTTTGACCTCATTTTCTTTTGTTAGAATTGTATCAAGCATCTTCAACTTGGCCATGTAATTTAAATTATTCTTTACATTGTGTGATTAAATAGTCTATTCATTTAGTTTTTGTAGGGGCTATTAACTTATTTTTCCTTCTGGAATTTTCCCTTCCTCTGACAGTTTCTAATGGATGTTTTATAACATCCTGAATTAGACTGGATGGCTGCCTTGGCCTTGCCTCTATGTATAATGTTGCCAGAAGCTCCATTCTATTTGGTGTAAAATGGTGTTATTTTAGTCAACTAAGATACACAGTTATCCTGATAGGAACAAGAACTACCATTATAATGAATGATGTATTATACCATGCTTTAGATCATATACTCTTGGCTGCCAAGTTTGAACATTTCATTCTTACTCATTGTTTTCATGGATTCTTCTCAGCCTTGCCTGAAATCTTGGGCCTGCCACCTCTCAGCTTTAGTTTCCTTTGTTTGCTAGAGTACATACTTCGAAATGGCCATTCCCTAGAGGTCTACAGATCTGACATCTCCTTCCTTCCTTTGCTTCAAGATTAGAGTTGTCCCTGGGATGATAATGATGGCTTGGAAAAAGCAGAAATTTCTTGGAGTTAGCAGGAATTCTGGAGGAAGCCTGTGTCTGCCTTGTCTGTAAGACAGATTAACCAAGCGTCCTCCCTATCCTTTCACCCAAGGTTATTTTCCACTCCAGAATTAGCAGAAAGCCGGCCAAAACCTGTCCCTTGTTGTGTAGATAGGGGCAGTAGGCATGAGGTGACTCCAATTACTGGTCTAAATTTAACTTGTCTTCTGGCCAGAGGGCTCCATCTCACAGCACATTTCAAACACCAAAGCCATGGTCAAATGGGTTACCTTGGACTTATCTTGGCTTGTCTGAGAGGTTATGGTCAATTACGTTTGAGGGTCGTTTTCAAGCAAGACAGAATCAGGCACTGGAATGAAGCTTGTGAAACAAGTATGTGCTTTATCCCAAATGGGAAATGCTTATCAAAATAGTTATTACTTATCAAGTGAGCACAAAGTGCCTGGAAATGACGTTTACAGTGAGAGGAAATGGCCCAGCTGTGCTTTGTTTGGCTTTCTCTCGTCAGTTCAATAGGAAAAATATTAATCAATGGGGAAAATGCTCCCGTTAATGTAATATGCACATTTTAGGCAGTATGGAAAATAGGAGCTCCTTAAATGCCTTTATGTCACAACTTTATTACATGGATCACAAAGAACTTTTACGAAAATAATTGTTACTTAAGCCACAAATTTACACCTACAGAAATGCTTTCGTTTTTTAATGGCACAGCTGAAAACCTGAGATGGAGAAAGTTCCAGGGTTCCCTAAGGTCCTGGAGTAATTATGCAGAATAGTAGAGGGAAGAGGTTCAGTGACCCTTTGTCACTTGCCACTGGACAACACCTTTTTTCCCCATCAACAGGGAAGTAATTAGCAATTCAGTGTTTCCTCAAGAAACAAATTACCAATGCCTCTCCAAGGAGATAAAGTTTAAGTTACATAATTGAGTCTTCCCGGTTTCTACCTTTCTCTGCTCAGACATAACAGAACTCACACCTCAGAAGTGTCCAGCCCTGCACCATCTCACAAGTGAGCCTGGAGTGTAACCATGCCTGCCATGCTTCTTTTGTTCTAGGTGATGAGGCTCCGAAAACTAGCTCAGCAGATTGCGAACTGTAAACAGTGCATTGAAAGGTCGGCATCACTCATCTCCCAAGCGGAACACTCTCTGAAGGAGAATGACCATGCCCGTTTTCTACAGACAGCAAAGAATATCACTGAGAGGTGAGTGTAGGGACAGTTAGGATGTTTTCAGGCTGCTGATTGCTTGTACCTGGGTGTGACTGGTTGGCCTTGCTCTCACCTGACTTTTTTTTTCTCATTTTCAAGGTTGAATACTAGAGAGAATAGAAGCTGTTGTTGTTTTGCTCCAATTAAGGGTGCTCCCCTTTGACATAACAAAACCCTTTCTATAACAAGCCTAGAGTTCAAGGTCTTCATATCAGCAGCCAAACATTTTGTGTGTGGAGAGTGGGGTACAGAAACAGCATTTGTTATAATTCTCAAACTTGATCTTATCACAGCCTTGGTAACAAAGAATGGACTGGCCGTGCAGGCAAAAAAAGGGGGGGCACTTATCTTCCATTGCCTGGTCCATTTATCTAAAGAAAACAACTCCGCAGGTTCTGTTTGTCTTGTCTTTTGCTTGGCCTAGAAGATTGACATCACCTGAAAAGGCCAAGGCTGATTCATGTGGGACAGAAAGGTCAAACAGCCAACCTTCTACTGCCTTCTTTTAAAATGCCCTCTATTCCTGGGGAGGAAAAGCAGAAATGAGTTACTTGTGTAGTGAGCTCAGTAGTAAGATGAGTGAAGATGAGTCTTCTCTTGGTATATTCATTTATTTTGTATAGAAATTACTCATTTCCCTGGACATAGATAGACCTATGTAATAAATTCAGTGGATCCAAAAAGAAGCACTAGGCTGGCCTGGATAAATGACATCTCTAGACAACACCAAATGCCTTGACTTTTCATTTATTCTAATTTTCAACTGCCCTTTATGCAAAACCACATCAGAATTGTATTATTAAAAGACCCCAGAGAACTCATTCATACTAGTCTCCATCATGAGCAGAGACCACCATATTGCTCGAGTAAGTAAACTATTTTTAGCTTTGCAAGCTATAAAGTGATCTATCACAGTTATTCACTGCTGCTTGGGTAGCTCCACATTAGCCATAGGAAACAAGTAGGTGTGGCTGTGTGCCAGGGAAGCCATTCACAAAATAATCCACAGGCATTCCCTTGCTAACCCATGGCTGTAGCGGGGAAACATGCTCACTGTCTTAAGAGTTAAATTTCTTCAAAGGAGAAAGAAAACCAACACTTGCAGGTGCTTTCTTGGGTTGGACACCATTTCACCATTCTCTAAAAGTATAGAGTGTTTTCATAACCCTCGTTTCCTACCTGTCAGCCAGCTTCTCTGTTTTCTTATATTTGAGAAAAATTCCTTTTGCAGGTAATTAGCTACTTATCTCCCATAAAAGACGTGAATAATGGCTGCCCTTAAGACACTCTCCTCCCTATTGCAAGAAAGGCAGGTTTCTTTTCTTGTGGCTTCCTAGATTTCAAGTGGTTAATTCTTTGTACTTCTCATCTAAACCAATTTATTATTCTTTATTATTACTAAAAAAATCCAAACACTTAAACACCACTGCTTTCCTTTGCATCCAACACACTCTAGAGATGGTTTACACATAGGTCAGAGATCCCCACTAGGGTCTGAGAGTCCATTGCTCTGTTTATTAATCAGGATATATCCAGATGACAACTTCAACTGAATGAGGCCTGAATAAATTTGCATCTAACTGGCAGAGAAAGTGGCCAGTTAACAGAGCAGGAAGAGACTTGTATTTGAAGGACATCACATGCCCCTGCATGTGCATACATGTGCACACTGGTCCCCCTTCTATCTGGTGAACAGATCCTGTCCCATTATCTCCTCTTGTACCATGAGTGTATCATCAGGAAAGGAAGGGTGACTTGTATCTGTTGCCATAAAGAGCATGGAACAGAACACCTGGAAATATTCATTGGCAGACCTTTGTCCCTCTGTTTCTACTGTCTCAACTCTTGCCAACCTCCTTGGTTAAGGCATCATTCCTTCTCTTTGTATAATCTGGGATATAGCAAAAGGGGTCTGGGCTGGGACAAGATGTTGCAAGACCAACATGCAAATCCCAGCATTGCCACTTTGCTCAGAGATGTCATTTATGCAGCATTGATTGATTGTATCTAGCTCAGCCTAGTGAGTCTCTTTAAAGCCACCAGAATTGTTAATGGTGTTTACACCCATGGGGATGAGTGATTTTTTTATCAGTTACCTGGATGTTCTGAAGTAATCCTTACCTATGTCAGTATTATTTCTGAGACCACCATGTGGGAGCAATTTTCTACTTGGGAAATGCACCCGTGGTAGCTATCCATATAATGATAACAATGCTAAAACTCCTCAGAATACCATCACAGGCACAGTGAGTACTACTTGAATGGATGTTTTAATCCTACAGAATTTCAGCTAACCTCTCTTGTTCGCCTTTTCTGTTGTACTGGCCTACCTGCTTCTATTCTGCATCCTTTCATTAAAATTCATACACTATGACTTCTGGGGTCTATATTCTAGTCCATCAGCCTTGGGTTTTGACACCTAAATATTTTACATCACTTATTCAATGTGTAGAACCCAGAACATACTTTAATTCCTGTAGGCATTCCTAACATGAGAATGTATCAATAAAATAATTCACAAAACAACCTGGTTTGTTCTATAAACTGAATCACAATTGATAAACTTTTTCTCAACTAAGAAGCATTTAAATAAATCCACACATGCAGAGAGAGTCCTAAGCCTTAGATTGTGGGAGATGCATCTCTTTTGGAATCAGCTATTTGGCTCTATCCTAACTGTCTAGTTATTATGGATAGAATCAGGACTTCTCTTGAACATTTTTGAGTCTAGTTTTGCTTATATGATTCAAATATGCAAGAATCTAGCCATCTTATTTTCACAATGGTAGCCTCAGTGTACTGAAAACTGTATGACATGGAAGAATTACTTAATCTATACACAATATAGTTATTTGTTGTTATTCCTACAAAATAGAGTTGTTATAAGCATAAAATGAATACAGAAATAAAAACAGCCCAGATTTTGCCATGAAGGGACAGGCAACAAATTCCCTCCTTTCATGTTCCCTGCATAGCTCCATATTTGATGTGTACCACACCATTTTCAAGCCACCATTGGTGTGACTACATAGTGACATTTTGAGGAGTATGTTAAATGAGTAGGCATATGGATTAAATCCAGGCACAAGAAACTTTGTGCACTCTTTCCAAGGAGTCTAAAATTACTTTTAGCAACAAATTGTTTTTATCAAAAGGATGCTAAGAAAATTCCTTCAGAACAGAATGCATTTTCAGATCACCTAGAAGTTTCTCTACTGGGAGGGTGTCCCCTTACCAGCACAGACAGTTTAAGGATTTACCAGGCTTTTCTAAAAACAGAAGGACAAGAATTTCAGTTGGCAACTCTGGAGAAACATTACTTGGTTCTAAGAGTCAGAGCACAACCCATGTGTGGGTTTTGAAATGCTATCTGGAGGGTGTTGATAGTTAATAGATGTTAAAACAACACTACATTGCCAGGGCCAAATGTTTTTGGCAAATTTTGAGCTGACAACAGTTGAACACATTTTGTTTCTGTGGTACCTTGCTGTTTTTGACCATGGTTGTGTGTGGTGTTTGGCAAAGACCGGTGGACAGTGTCTCTCTGGACACATCCACCTTCTGGAATACTGTCCCTGTGTGACTAACAACTGAGTGTTATTCAGATTACAGATACCAAAGAAGAAAGACATATGTAGGATATGTAGGAGTAGTGAGTAATAGACATTTCCTCTACACACACACACACACACACACACACAGAGAGAGAGAGAGAGAGAGAGAGAGAGAGAGAGAGAGAGAGGTGACTACAAAGCAAGGAAGTAAGAAGAAGCCTAGCACTAACAAGCCCAGTGGATGTTGGCAGCATAAAACACCAGAAGATGTGCAACAAGGATTTGGGGGGAAAAACATGCCCTAAAATGTTGAGTTTGGCAGATTTCCCTTTATCTGTCATTCCAGTTGAGGACTTGAAATTGTAGCCAAAGATATGCATCTTTCCTTCCACCAAGGAAAGGAAACCTGTAGGTGTTAAAAGCTTCAGTAATCTCTGAAGATTTCTTCTGTCAGTCCTTGCCTCCCAGGCTAGGCACTATCTTCCTTCTGCTTCCCACTCAAAGTTCCCACTGTCAAAATGGTGGGAGCATTTACTATGTCATTTGACAAAAACACATTTTATTTTATCGTATGTTGACCCCTGAAACAGGACAAATTTGGAGACACAATCTGTTTTGGATGTGCCTGAAGAAAGAGGCTTCTGCCTCCAAGAAGGGAAATAATAAAGCCTGATATCTGTATTCAGAGCAGTCTCATCAATTGACACAAGATCTGGCTTGCAAGAGAGTCTAAGAGAAAGGGTATTGTAAGTTTGGTACTTGCTTCCTACTAGCTTGTCCCAGTTTCCCCAGGTGGGGATTTTGAGACAGGATTTATTGAGTGTTTTTTGTTGTGAAATATTTTTGAGGCATGCAAATAGTAATAGAGCATTCCTTTGAAGTTTTCTGCATTGATACAAATATTTTGGGCTCTTTGGTATACGGCACACTTCATAAATATTTGGTGAATATTGGTTAAAGGTACAGTTTAATTAGCATTCATCCCTGTATCCACCCAGCTACATTAACTGTTATAAGTATCAATAATTAATTCAAGTCCCTTGAATGTCGTATTTAGTCAATAAAATCATACAATGCCCTTATTCAGTGAGAATTTGTGAGCTAATCAGGAAGTGACATTACATTGTCTACAATACTTTTTACACTTGAATATTTCATTTATCAAGTTTACATTGCCTTAGACTTTCATCCTACTATCAATCTGATCAGGACATTGCAGATTAAACAAACTCCTTTGTTCCCTAGACAACATTGAACTTTTAACAGAGATATAGCTAGAGAAATTACATTTGGATCATTTTGCATGTGTACTCTTTTTTATTGTTGTAGAATTTGCATAAAGTAAAATTAACTGGTTAAAGATTACAAATTAATAGCTATGCCTATTCTGAATATTTTATAGGGATGGACCATATGATTCATGATTTTTTGTCCAGATTTTTGTAATACAAAGTTTGTGTGGTTCACCTATATTTTCGCATTTGTCAATCCTCGATTCCTTTCTGTGGCTGTGTACTATTTACACCATATAAATAGACCCCTGAGTGTGACTTTTATGGCCAATATAGGGTCTTTGTAAAAATGCAAAGCTTTAAGAGTTACTAAAAGACACAAGAGTGGCTATAATGCTTAGGATAACTTGTTAGAATCAAAATCTTCTCATGAAATGAAAGAGTACACACCTGAAGTCCTCCTGACTGTCACCATCTGGCTCTGAGACTTGTGAAAATGAGCATCAATGGTCCTTACAAGAAAATAAGTAAGTAGATTTATAGCTAAGTCATTTCAATGTTGATTTTCTATGCAAAAATAAAAAAATTAGTGTCCTAACATTTCTGGAACTAAATATTTTTGGAAACTCATCAAGATTAAAGTCTAGCATGGTTCTCTATGCTCAGAAGTAGAATCTTCAAGCCATGTTTTCCTTGGTTTTAAAATATTACTTTTATTTTGGAATCCACTAGAATGCTCTGTTGTTCCTAACTGAACTTTCCAAATCAACTCAAGAGCACATAGGGAATAGACACATATACCTTGCTTTATAGTTTATACTTGAGAACTCTCACCAGAAAATCTGAGTGTGGAGAAGAAATTGTGTGCCTACTGGGGAAACTTGTGAGAAAACTTATGACTATTTTCCATGGCATCTGCTGGGAATGTGGTGCAAAAAAATGAATAGAAGGAGAATAAAAAAGTGCCAGACAAAACCCCCCTTTTAATGTTTATTTTAGAGAGAGACTAGTAATTGATTAAACTAATCCAATATCTGGAAACATTCTTTTTTAATCTTCACTTTGCCTTTTATGCAGTTTGAAATTTTGGAGACTCCCCTTTGAAGTGGAGCAGGGGCGAGTCTGAAAGGAACAAACAGTTTCCCAGACAGATGTGTGAAGAAATGCCTGGAGCTACGTGCTTCTTGCTGGGGTTAGATGTGACTGGGCCAGGCTGTTAAATACACAGCAACATGAAATGTGAATATTCTTTTGCCTCCGTGGGGAATTTTTTTGCAATAGTATAAAGGAAGGGAGGGCACTGTGTTATTTCTCTCAATTCCTTGGCTTTTTCTTTAAGTGTGCTTTGCCATTCAGAGATGGTACTTTTAAAGGCCTGATATTTCTTTTCCTTTTATTTTTTTCTCACTTCTTCACAGTGATGATAAAAGCTACCTTGACATTCTTTAAAACATTGTTTTGTTTAAATTACAGAGTATCCATGGCAACTGCATCCTCCCAGGTCCTAATTCCCGAAATCAACCTCAATGACACATTTGACACTTTTGCCTTAGATTTTTCTCGGGAGAAGAAACTGCTAGAATGTCTGGATTACCTTACAGGTATTGTCTTATTGTCTTTTATGTTCTGTCTAATATAGTGTACATTCAGTGACACAAGCACTTTGCTACTGCATCAATTATTCTCTAAAAACCACATGTGTGCTTCAGGATTTGAAATGCTACCTAGTAGTCCTATAAATGATTCATGTACACTTTGTTTTTTTTTTAACCAAATAACACAGACTAAGTATAAATTGGAGCAAGAAAATAAAGAGAATCCTGGTTGCTAAATGTGTCCTTACCACCATTTTCCTTGCTCTCAACATGGAGATGGTCAAAGTAATAGTGCTGCTGGCCATCAGAGAGATATGGAAGGTTTCATGGGTATTTTTCATCATGTAAAAGAGGTATCTGACTCTCATAGTACATTAATGGTAGGGAAACAAAAACGACTTAATTAGCTGGACATTGTACCTCTCTAGCTTTTTGTGTTTGTGATCTTATCTTAGTTGTCACAGTATCACAATATTGGAAAAAATTGTAATCCTCATTTTAGAAATGGTAAATTTTAAGTCCTTATGCTGAAAGTCAGATAGGAAGGGAGTGAGGACAATTGGGATCTGGTTCAGTTCTGTATGAATTGTGCAGACCTCTGCACTTTCTAGTAAAAAAAAAAACTGAATTTCATGTTACTCTGGCAAACATCACAGAAATCGCATTGCAATTCCAGATGCCATGGTATAACCCTATACTTTCTACTTGGCTTTCCTCTTCCTTCTTCTTTTTCACCATCCCTGTATTCATCCCTCTCCTTCTCTTCCTTCCTTCCTTTCTTTCTGGCTTAGAAAACAATGAAGAAAAGAAACAGGAAGAAAAGAAAAATGTGGCTACTTATATTCTAGTAGTAAATCTTAATCTTTCCTTTACTGTTAGTCTTCACAGCAGGAACTAGGCTCAATGGTTGGTAGAAAGAATGAGGACTATTTAGACAAAGTTATTTGTGTTAGCCAAAGCCACCAGGACCTGTGACTTCAGGAAAGCACCATGTATACAGTGAAGCTGGTTGTGCCCTGTACTTAGGACTTAGAGCCTTCCAGAAACCACATCCCTAACTGAGCATGGTGTCAGTTTCTCAACTCCCAGCCAGTATGTGCATGTTTGTGGGAGTGTGGTTGGGGAGGGTGGAGTCAAAGAGAGGGAACATTGTGTAGCATTTATTTTTATAGTGTGTGGACAGAAAGCAAGGAGTATCCAGAGTGAGATATCCCACAAAACATCTCCTTGTCTTGTACAATTCTGTCTTTCAAATACATGGCTCCTGCTAAAGAAGAAAGAATTTGATTCACTAAGCATAAGCATTTACACTAAGGAACTGAACTTGGTTTCAAATACTTACGGGTACAATGCCTCCTTTCTTTGGCTTTTGATTTTGAGATTTGTCTAAACTACTGCCATCTAGTAGAACTTTCCATGGTGATAGAAATGTTCTGTGTCCATGACAGCCAACATATTAGTTATTAAGATCTTGCAATGTGCATAGTTAGATGTGCTTTTTGTTTAAAATTGAGATGAATATAATTACAAGTTAAACAACTACCTGACACTCATAGCTACTGTATCACTATCTGCATTTTCTCTTTTCCTGCCCTGACATCTTCTATCTACAAGTATCAGGCTGAAGTTTTATCCAAAAGTACAGGAAAAAAAGAGGGAATAATGTCAAAAATAACTTCACCAGCCAAGTATGGTCTTGTTTATCATAAAACAAAAGCTCATGCTCAAAAGACCTACCTAGCAAATTTTCACTTAAGTCTCTTGGACCAGATCCATGTCACAGGCTCATTCCCAAGGCCAGAGGAAACTAGAAAATTAAATATTTGCCCAGGAACATGGTCTTGCTGTACCAAATCCCATTGCTGTACTTGTTTCATCAGCAATAATGTGTCTTCATTTGAATACTATTAATAGTATATTCAAAATAGATGTCCATTTAAATTTCTGTAGGAACATGAACTCGTTGACTAAAAGAAAACCATAAAAGTGGTCTGCATGTAATTGTAACATGCATGCCATATGTCATCACAATGGGTGTTTTTATGTCAAACTAAAGGCCATATAGTGTACCTGCGAATTTGCCTTTTGAGCCGTTAACCCCAAAGGCAGTCGGTTTCTAGACGTAACATCAGTCTTGGCCCTAACATACAATGCTTGGCTAATACTACCAAGTCCAAATAATTTATCTGATATTTATAAGCAGGAAACGAAGTGTTTGTGGTGAATTAGCCCACCATTCCTTGTGTAGTGTTTGTGATGAAGGCAAGAAAATAATAGTTCTGGTACTGATTGTGTGCCTATTGAAATTGGCAGTATGCTGCAGTTTTCATTTACTGAACATTAGGAATTGACTTTGCAGGACAAACCCATTGGGTTTATAATCAAAACAGGGTTAGCCTGCCTGGCTGTGCAAACAAGATTTTTTTTTCCTATGACTTGCCTCTAAGTGGTATGTCAAGTTAATAACCCATAGAGGTGACATTTCCTTCCTGATTGCAGCTACTGCCATGTGTCTCATAGCCACTTGCCTATTTTGAACTTACATTTTCTTTCTATTTAATCACATACTGCCAAGCAGCAAAATCTCCTTTCTTTCCACAATAGCTGATGGCAAAAGAATTCAATTAACTATTTAAATTAAGAAATACTAAGTTGTTTTCCACTGATTCATGCAGGGATGATACCACAGCAACAATGACCACACAGGAAAAAAAAAAAAAACAAGCACGTTTTATGACACAGCTGGAACTGCATGGAATGCATCTCCTTATTGGTGTCACTAGTTCATGCATATCCAAGTCACACCACGTAAAACTAAATTTCACATGTGGGCTCTTCAGAAGACAGATGTTCAAACACGCATTTTCAGAAAAATGCTTGAAGGGTTATAATGAATGCTCTGTATGTATTTCTTTCCTATTTACTTGCTTTTCATTTGTGGATTTAATTTTGAGATGGGATCTACTATATAACCCAGGCTACCCTCTTCCTCACATTCTCCCTGCCCTCCAAGTATTGAGATTACAAATGCCTAAAATTAGACCCAGCTGAGCCCTTTTTCTCTTAATGGAGATCTTTGTGGACTTCAATAACTAACAGGCAGAGCTTCTCATGACTTGCCCTAAATGTCTTTTCAACAGCCTCCAAAGCCACAGAGAAACCCTGTCTCAAAAAACTAACTAAATAAATAAATAAATTTCTTTTCAGGTGAAGACAATTAAAGAGGAATTTTTAACTTACCATTTATATTAATGCTCCTCCCCATTTTGGGTTTCTTTACAACTCACCAATACTAATCAGAAACTAATGTAGAACAGAAAGACCTATGCAATGGTGGAAGTAAAAGTTGCTCTAATTCCATAGAATGCAAACATGCTTCTCCCTTTGAAGTTCAGCTGCAGTATACAGAAGAGTATAAAGAAAAGCTGTGGTTCAATTCTCTAAACCACAGACTGGTAAACTTTGACTGAAAATGGCCAGATGGCAGATGTCTTAGGCTTTTAGGCCATATGGTTGTAACTACTCAGTTTTTCTGTTGTATGAAAACAGCTGTATACAGACAATACCTGAGTGAGTCATGGCTCAGTGGTTAAGAACAACTGACTGCTCTTACACAGAACCAAGGCTTGATTCCCAGCACTCACATGGTGACTCAAAATTGTAACTCCAGTCCCAAGGTATCTTAGCCCTCTTCTGGATTTCACAAGCACTGCACACACGTGATACATGGGCGTACATGCAGACAAGATACCTACATATATAAAATAAAATAGTAAAAAGAAGCTATAGTTCGCTGACCTCTGATTTAAAATATTATTGCCAACACAAAACACTTGTAGCCTTGTATTGTCGTATTTATTATACTTATTAAATTACCTTTTGGAATTAATTCAGTGTAAGTAATTTAGAAACCATTATTGTTTTAATAGGATTTAAACTTCTCAACTGTTGACTATGGTAAACAAATAAAACAAAGGGCTTCTGTAGAGATAAAGGCAACCAAATGCAAGCATTCAGGATTTTCATAGTAAATGAAAATGTATTACTAAGAGGACTGCTTGTTAATTGTGATATTCTTTATTAAACCTGCAAATTGAAAAATGAAAAGAAGAAAATAGGAGTGCACCAATAATTTTAGCAAGTCATCAAATATTTAATAAAAGAAAATTACAATTATTTAGCTGATTTTCTATGGGGTAACAAATAACAATATTTTTCAAATATCTGGTGTCATGTAGTTGAGAGGCTGGCAAAGTGGGTTTTAGACCAAATCTGTCCCTGTGGCTATTCTATAAATTAAGTTTTACTAGAGTATGAAATTACTCATTTATTTACAAATTATCTACCTTAGCTCTCATGACACAATGGCAGGGTTAAGTATTTGCAAGAGCCACAGTATGCTCTACAATACATAAAACTTACCATCTAGTCATTTATGGAAAATTTTCCAACCCCACCTCCCAAAGTGAAAGGGATTATGAAAGTCTGTCTTGGTTACTTTGTGTTTCTGTATACATACCAGAAGCTATTGTTTGCTTAGTCTCCTAAATAGTCTTACTGGCTGGTGGACTCTAGCCATGCTGTTTACAAACAACAACAAACAAACAAATTCCATAAGTAAGCAACTAAACACTTTGGAACTGAGATCCCCATCTCTAGGATAGTAGTCCTGGTAGACTTACTTAAGAAGGCTTGCTTTAACAGTTAAATATCTCCAGAATGTAATCTCAATGGTGTCTGCTGCCGCACTGATATGCATTCTTGATGCCCACAGCTCCCAACCCTCCCACAATTAGAGAAGAGCTCTGCACAGCTTCCTATGACACCATCACTGTCCACTGGACTTCGGATGATGAGTTCAGTGTGGTCTCCTATGAACTCCAGTACACCATATTCACTGGACAAGCCAATGTTGTTAGTGAGTATCACATGGCCTATTTACTTCTTAGTTTGACTACGGTTTTCAGGTAAACTGGGTGAAGGAATATAAACACCAATGGTAGATGATGAGGAAGGAAAAATTACAATATTTATTGGTTTCTTTTTCCTGCTTAATAAAGGGATAATGCTGACTTGTATTGCAGTAGTGAAAACAGCAGATCAAATACCAATGAAATTTATCACTTCTGGAAAACCACATAGATGAAGATCATGAATATGCTGTTTGATGAAAGAAACTGGTAACGACATGTATAAAGAAAACTCATTTATCAATTCATAACTTAAAGATCAAAATATTTTGCTTAAAGATACATTCTTAGAGGTTAAAATGTAAATATTAATAAGGATGTTGATGATATCTTGAATAGAATGGACTAAATGTCACTGGGAATAAATATATGAGGGAACTAGAAATACAGCTGTCAGTACAAGTGTTTGTCTTGCAAACATGAGGAACAGAGTTTAGATCTCTAGCACTCATGTGAAATAGCCAGGCATGGTGATATTTACCTGTAATCCCAGGATTGGTGAAGGATGGAGACAAGAAAATCATAGGAGTTCAATGGCTAACCAGTATAACCTAATCAGCAAGTTGCAGGTTCGATGGGGACCCTGGGTCAACAAACAAAATGGAGTAGGGTCAAGAAATACATCTAGTGTTGACCATGGAGTCCACATACACATGCAGCTATATGTATACTCGTCTATACTCATACACATACACATATCCTGCTACACACACACACACACACACACACACACACACACACACTGTATATGTGTATGTATATATGATGGTTCATAGGATTAACAGCGATTTCTGGGTGGTAGTTAACATGCTTCAGTCATTTTATCATACATTTAATTTTGTGAACTTTTCTAAATGTTTCAGTTTTCAAAAAAAGGAAAGAAGTTAGTAAAATGAACAGCTAAAGACTGTTAAGTACCTGGACCCTTTCTGAGGTAGTTTAGTCCTATCACTTCAAATCTTAGTAACCAACACCTCCTAGGAAGAACTAGGCTTACCTGAAATGCAGAGGGACTCCTCTGTCACTGATGCTTGTTTGATATTTGGCATTGTGACTATTACGACCAACTCAAACAGCTGTCCATAATGGTTAGAACAGAGTTATTTAAATTGAATTGAACAAATGCCAAGGGGCTAGAAAAAATCACTTTCCAAGGGAACAAATATGAAACTTCTTTAGTTGTTTTCTTAGTTTCTATTGTTATGATGAAACAACATGACCAGAAACAACTTATGGAGAAAAGGATTGGAGAAAAGGAACCATCTCACAGCTTATGGTTCCTGATCCAGGGATCTCATGGCAGGAAATCAAGGCAACAACTAATGCAGAAGTATGAACACTTCTTACTGGCTTGCTCTTCATTGTTTGTTTATCCTACTTCTTATAGCACCCAGGATGACGTGCCCAAAGGTGGCACTGTGCTCAGTGAGCTCGGCCCTCCTAATACCAGTCAATAATCAAGAAATCCCCCCACAGACTTTCCCACAGTCCTATCTAGTGGGACCTTTTCTCAAATAAAGTTCCCCCTTCTGAAATAGCTCTAGCTTGTGTCAAGTTGATGTAAAACTAACCAGCATGGCAATGGAAATACAGAACATGTCAATGTAGAATAAAATAGTAGTCATTTTTCCACAGAGATATTTTGAGTACATCCATATCAGTTTAATGTGCTTTTTTTTACATAAGAAACCTATTGTCTCTTAGTTGTTCTTTCGTAGTTCTGAGGTACTTGGTACTTTAAATAGAAATTTGCTTTAAGGTTAATTAATTATAATTGTAATAGAGAAAGACACTAGCTTCGTAGTGACAAAGTGCAAATGATCCGTATTTATCCCCTTGTAGACACCTTTCTCAGATATCTCTCTCCCTTTCTTGTCTCTCTATCTTCCTCTGTCTTCCTCTTCTTCTCTAGCCCCCTTCCTTCCTTCCTTCCCTCCCTCCCTCCCTTCCCTACCTCCCTCCCTTCCTCTCTCCCCCCCCTACTTGGTTTGCCTTAGGAAGCATTCATAAAATATTTGCAATTTTTCCAGGCATGTGTAATTTATGAGTAGAAGAGTGGAACCTGTTTTGCAGGTAGGGACCATAGAGGAGTCAAAAGTAGTTGCAACAAAAAGGCCTTGGAGGGAAGTAACAGTTAAACTAAGTCTTGAAAGGTAAGAGTATTTGCAGATAGCTGTGTCTATCTACAGATAACAGGATCATAAGCAAAGCCAACAGAGAGTAAAGTAGTAAAGCATACTGGAAGATTGCACTTGATAATGCCTGGCTGGAGATTTCAGTGAGGAAGGGCAAGCAGTGAAAAGCATAAGCATGGATTTTGCTTCAGAATGCACATGTTCTCAGGTATCACTTGAAGCCAGAGACAAGTGCTAGAAAACAGAAAGCTGTTCAGGTTACCCCACATTTGAATTTTATGTTAGAGAGTCATGTTTAAGTGGGCAATCCAAAGTTGATTTGTGCCAGCACTGTAGAGAGTGGAGAGGGAACAGAATGGGCTAGAAGCAAAGAGAACAGCAGGCCTTTTGTGGGAACTCACTAAGATGTAGGAATAACCAAGATCTCTAAATGACATTCAACTGAAAAGAATCCTCGGCCTTGAGCTGATTTAGTCTGGTAACATCATCACTGCTTTTTATTTGCTCTAAATGCCTTTTGAGACAAGTCTAAGTAGCACTCCTCCTAAGACTGAATTCTTCTGAATCAGCCTTCCTCACCAACTCTATAGGTCTTGTTGCATGGCATTAATAAATGCCAATTTTCTACCTTCCTGTGTATTTTCATACCATATGTGGATATTTACTTTTTTAAAAAAAATAAATGTAATAAAAGATTATTCTATTTTGGCACAAATAATTGCTGCATTTTTTCCTGAAACAGGATGGCGTCCTTTTTCAAAGCTATGCCCTGATTTATCTGCCCCATATTCTGCTAATGAACATTAGCTTATTCCCAATCTCTGAAAATATTGCCCCAATAAATATCCTTGCATATTTTCCCTTTCATGCAGGCAAAATTATATTTCTAGTATAATCTCTTGAGATAGAATTGAGAAAAAGAGATTGTTTACATTTTAATTTTGATTGACATTGCCAAATTGCCCTTCAGAGAGATGGTGGGTGATTTTTAAAATGCATTGTAGCATCTGTGGGAGCTTACATTTCATTGATATTAGACACGTATACTATAAGCTAAGTGTAAGAAGCACAATTTAAAGCAAGATAAACAACTATTATCTACAGGATTACATAATAAATCTAAGATGCAACTTAACTAATGCAGACCCCATAACATGTTAACCTATACACTGCTATACTATATAATATAGAAGGTCCTATAGTATAGAAGGGAACACATAAGACAGAAAAATGGCAAATACATTTTTGTCTTCATTTAAGGAATTATTTTGTATTATATTGTATAGTAGGAAATTACCAATACGGAGTCAGGTAGAAATATAAGGGTATTTAATAGGGAAAAGCCTTACTTACAGAGCGAACCAGCCAGCCGGTGGT